CTCTAATCAAGGACTTGAGTGGGGTTTTCAAGAACGAATTAGGTCCTACAAACTACTCGTTGCTAGCAGAAGTTTTTGGACTCGCTCGACAGACAACTGCTTCCAAACATAGCATGGAAGAGCGCTTGGACCCTGGGATTAATTTTGATGCTTTATCAAAGGCAGCTGTCCTCTTTAAAAAGTCGCCCGTGAATGAGGCAAGCGATGGAGCGCGAGCACTAAGGTATCTACAAGCTCGAAAGTTCAAAGATGGCAGCGTAAGACTGATTGGCCAAGGCTGGAATCCCGATATCCATAGCTGGAAATTAGAAGAAATGGCAATCCCAAGGAAAGATCCATGCAAGGGAGACAAAGATGATTTTTCAGCTTTGAAGCGTGTCATTGAAAAACTCATCGAAAGAGATGCCTTGTCCAAGACTGTTTCCGTACATAATCTTACACCACTCACATCAATGGAGAAGTCCTCGGTAATTTATTGCATGTGGCCAACAATCGAGAAAGGTTATACAGGGAAGCATTTGCTTAACTATTGGCAGGAACTGAGGAGGCACTGTTTTTATGAGAATGGAGAAAAGCGCAAAAACCCAATTCATCTATTGGGTTACTCAACGGATTCTGCTGGTTTTTCACTGTCGGCTGCAGTTCAAATGATGACACCCAATTTGGAAAACATCAATAATGGTGTGTTATACCTTGGGCTTGGTTCAGAAGACGAAAGGTTTTTGGCTCCCTACTACTGGTTTCTCCCTGCTATCTGCTATCTCGATTACGACCACGAACAGCGGCTTTTAATGAAAAATCTTAAGTATGAGACACGAGAGCTTACGTTTTGGAAGGATAGAGGCTCTTCCAGCCGAATAGCGACCATACAACATCTTAAGGATCTTCGGCACAGATGCCAAGAGAAGGGATTGGATTCTGGTCTCAAGGCGACAGACCTCATCCTTATCTACTTCTGCGATCAGAACTCAGATGCCTGTGAGCGCCTTTTTACAGAGCAGATTGCCGATCTTGATGAACATGTCCCTGGCTCACAAGGCACAAGCTTATACATCCGAGCAGTGTTTCATCTAATCGAGCCCTTTAGAAAACCAAATTTTGGTAGTCCCTCCGACGTTCAGAAGTCTGTGTCCTGTGGTATAACGGTGCTGCGTCTGTGGAGGAAGGTTCTCGAGCTCCAGAGACTTCCGCTCAACTCTAAACCTGGTGCCAAGAAAAATCCAGCTCACAGGTGGAATTTCCTAACTCGCGGATGCTATATTACTGCAGAAATATTATTTGCAGCGGCAACATTACATCAACTCACAATGTTCCTCCACTTTCCAGACGAAGGCGAAGCGTGGGCGTCACCCTACAACTCTGGCACCAAGAGTACGGAACGTATTATAAGTGAGCTTCAGGGAAAGACGACTGAGCTGCAATCCCTGGATTCTCAACCATCCTTCGGGGACATGCTGGACAAGAGCGCCAAGGTTCAATTTAACATGAATGCCAAGAGACGTGTCGCTGCAGCCGGTGTGGACGTGAAAGCATCGTCCAAACGAAAGAAACTAGCCTTCGCTTTTAAGTCTCACGAGACCTCTATCAAGTCCAAACCCCAGTATCCCAATACATATCTCGCCTTCAAGGAACAACAAAAGCAGGCTCATCGTGAAGGTGTAAAGAAAGGCCAAGATTTATTTGCCAGGTTTATGCCCCTGCCTTGCGTCAATCTGGTGAAAGAAAATGGTAGCTGGGAAATCCCCTATACATTTGAGCATCCAAGTGGGTTGGAAATAGTGAATGGCAAGCTCCCACAGAATTATACGAAGTTGGATTTAGATGTCAGCGTTGGATCTCTGGCGGAAGAGACTCAGTTAGAGCTGGATGAAGATCGTGATGAAGAGGAGTGTGAGAGCAGTCAAGAAGATTATATGACAGCACATGAGATACTTGAAACTGGACAGGAGGCATTAGAGAATCATGTGGAATCATGTGGAAAATGGGGAACCATAGTGGTAAGATAAACAAAAATGTCGGCGGCCTTGAAAACACTGAAACTATGAAACACATCGAAACATCATTCCCTTAACATCTTGAAACCGATTACCTGGCGATGCTCTACCAATTGAACTATGAAGCAAATCCTAACATC